TGTTACATATATGTCGAGAATCTTTGTTTTAACGTTTCGCCTGTTTTGCTATCTTCGGGTGTCTGTCAATCCAGAATAAAATTCAGGAACTTTTATTTAATCTACGCTTCTTCATGTCTACGGATATTACATCTCGTTCATTTTTTTTTTTTTTTTTTTTTTTTTTTTTTTTGTTTGGTTAGAACTGCTCAATTATTACTAATCCTGTTTCAACTGAATCTTTTTCTTTACTACTCGGCACAAAGATTTAAATCGCACATACTATGTCCCCAAATTTACGAACTATCACATTAATCCTTTCGGGTATTGTCCTGTGGGTCCTTAAAAATAATAAATCCTCCTTCTGGACAAACAGTCGGTAAGTTTATTTTTTGTGTCGTTGTCTTTTTCCATCATTTTTGTTGCCTTGTTTTGAAAGCAAATAACCTGGATCATTGTACTGGATGATGATTATTTCTTTGGTTTTTCGTTGAAAATAGAAGTTGAAATGCAGTTGTGTGGGGTTCGGCGCTCCATATCGTATAACTGTAATGGATATATTTTATATCCTTATGTTGCACTTAATCACTAAATTTGTTGCGCAACTGATTGTCCTCCGCTGCCAGGAGAAGCGGCTCCCTCAATTCTGGTTTAATCGTATATATAGCTAAGTCATTCTTAAAAGAAGTTTAGTACCGACAGGTGATTTGGTTCTCCAACTTTTGGAACAGTATACACATATACAAACACGCACGCACCACGCATACATACATACATACATACATACATACATAAAATCCCAAGACGTATATGCAATATGATTGGTCATGACTTGGGATCACTTTCTCACAGACGTGATGAGACTTCCCTCTGTCTTTTCTATAAATTTTCATAAATATTTTCATTGCATCTGGTCTGATGAGTTATTTCCAGAGGTGCTCTGACTACATGACTTTAAACGTGCTACTAGGTTGGCGTCTCGGTCCCACCCTTTTACTGTCGAAACAGTTAAATATAACCGCCTCTTATACTCCAAGAGCTTATTCTCTCGCACTTCCCGACATTGGAACTCCCTTCCTCTTACTTGCTTCCCCGATAACTATAATCTATAATCTTGCAATGATAACGATCGCGGAATAGCAGACGCAGGTCGTAAATTCGTAATGTGGTCCAATACGTCCTACATGACCACGTGAGAGAAAGAAATGTTATCAACAGAACCATGTGTTTAAATGCATTATGACTGGTTTGAAATGTAATTTTGTTGAGTGTGAGTTGCTTCGTTATAATATAGATGGCCTCCAATATCTGAAGGTTCTTTTTACTGTTTTTACTGTGTGAGTATTATTATCAACTAATATCTGTCTAATATTATGTACATGGCTATGATTTTCTAAGAAATGTTGTTTAATGGAACTAAGATCAGAAAGGTGACAGGTAAGTCTACGGGGGAGTGTAGTTGTAGTAAAACCAATATATGTAGTGGGTTTACTATTAATATCAGAGATACAATCTATACATCCATATATACACACACATATATATTCACGAACAAAATAATTTTATATATGTTTAATTCCAGTATCCGTCTATATTTAGTATCCTGAGGTGAGGTATTATGTACACTATTTACATTATTTGGATGAGGACAATAGTCTTAATTATGTAAATAATGTTTAATTCCAGTTATAATCCAATATGTACATGCAATATTACAAAGAGACCGACACACAGAACCACACTCCATTATACGCATATATACATATACATATATAACACATATCTACATCTCCATATACATATTTATACGTTAACCTACATATCCATAACCACATACATACATATATATACATTAACACATATACACGTACTCATACATATACACATGCATATAAACACACTTACACATAAAAACAATAACAACACACACACACACATATATGTATACAAACATATATATATATATATATATATATATCTTTCATACTTACAACAAGTGCATAGCTAGTGCATCTACCACCCCCATATATTATATACTTTCACAGGTGCAAAAATTCTCATATCATATATGTACATGTACATGTATATACACTAAAAATATATCCATACACATACATATCAACCACACACATACAAGCACACACACACATATATATATATATATATAAACATATATATAAACCACAACCTTAACCTTCAAAGTAAAATAAACACAATTATGTAAACATGTGCAACCGCATCTATCCAATGATGATACAGATTTGAATACATTAATATATGTTATGTCATATCTGATGTTATACAATCCAGGGGAAGTGTTTCTACTATATTTTAAGGCGATGTTTGTGCCTGCATTTGGATGTAAGTTAACTCCGAAGGTTTGGTAACTCCTCCTGGTTTTTGTCTTAAAAATATTTTCTCCTTTGAAGCTCATAGGAGTCCGATCCCTGGAAGGAATTTCCACTCCAAATATGGGATGAGACCTTTGTCAATTAGCTTCCAATATTGCCTAGATAAAGTAGTTTGTTTTTTCAGCGATCTCTTGTTGAAAGAGTGCCTGTGATTATATAGGCGTTGTTTCCAACTTTCCGCAGATATTCAAATGTAGATCTTTTTTAGGTTAACATTTTCTTCGGGGAAGATAATTGCCTCATACACCACATTGTTGGACATGCATTTTCCCTCAACAGGACACTCGGTTTTTCTTCTACAATTGCATGCAGAGTTAATATCGTGTACTTCACTCCGCTGAAACTTTTGAAAAAGAGTTTACAATAGATTTTAAGTGTTTTCCTATTAAAAATATTTGTTAATGGATTCTTATCGTTAAAATGCTTATCAGGAAGAAACGGCCTATATTAATGTTGGAAAGCCTGCAGAAGGGTGGGTTGAACCATATAGGTTTGTTTAAAATTTCTATTTTCTAGTGCTGTGTGGTATATAAACTTACTCTCATTAAAAATTTTCTGTTAGAAGATAACCTATTTATCCTTGTGTTGACCGTTTTGGGGATATGTTCTATAATCGACTTTGGGTGGTTGGAGTGGACATTAATAGATCGGAGTTTGACTTTCTTTTTGGTATGGTTTATAGGTATTGTTCGAAAGGTTAAGAGTAATGTCAAGAAAGTTAATTATTTTTAGATTAGAAGATATATCTATCATGAAACTCAGAAAACTGAAAACCTTAATAATCTTTTTATGCAGTCCTGAAGATAGAGGACCATTACTATTGGGAACAATTATTAGACTATCGTCTCCATAAAAGCCAACATTGTTGGGGCTAATGATCCTACCGATATATATATATATATATATATATATATATATATATATATATATGCCCACCAAGTCTGCTATCTAGGAAGAGTCAAATGTCCCCATAGAAACGTCGAAGCTTCCGTTGTTCCTTTTAATCAAAGTTGAGTCATTGTACAATAGTATCGATCTTCTAGAAGCTATGATAATATTTTGTTCATCTTAAGTGATATCAATGCAATTTTAGCAAAATTTAGGCTAATTTATTAATAATTCTTAAGAAATGGATGGGTAAAAGTCGATTATGTCAAATTGGATGAATGTAGTTGTCTGTTTATTTGGGATATTTTGAAACCACTGAATTGTGTCAGAGGTGTTCTTCCAAAGGTTGACAGGATACTTTAGTTGTAAGGATTTTTGGGGTATGTTTTTTTAGATTAATCCTAATTCAGATTGAGAAGGATTAATTAAGCGGTATTGCATTATGCTGTTGATAAAACTGGGCTTATGTACCATTAATTTTATTATTTTTACCAATAATTTTATTATATATATATATATATATATATATATATATATAATGTCAAGCTGTAAGGATCTATCCGACACATTTAATAGGTCGACCATTCCTCCATGATTTGAATATTGCTGTATCATCTTGGCTGATGCTTTAGCTAATTATTTAGAGAGTCTGGATAAAATCCAAAGATAAATATGCAATATTATCTATCCTGACATGGCATCTCGGCTTCAGTCATTTTCTCATCGTCATTTTGAGCATTCCTCTTTGGTACCCAACTCTGCCTTAACGAATTAGAGCGCAGTACTGGATTGTATGCTAGGTCTCCTTATTTTGTAGATGAAATGGCTAGATGTAACCGTAAGTTTTATGCTAACAATTTCATCTCTCACACTTCTCGTTTCTGGAACTCTCTTCCAGTCTGTTTCTTTCCGGTCAACTTTGATCTTCAAAAATTTAAATGCGATGTCAGTCGTTATCTTCTGTCTTCTTATTTCTTCTTCTTTTATTCTCTCCTTTTGATATTTTCCTTTTCTCGTATTCTTTCTGTTGTGGCCTTGTTAGGGCCAGAAATAAAGACACAAAGACAGGAATTGAGTTAAACAAATATATTAACAGAAACAGTAATACAAACATATACAAACGAGTGTTATAGCAATAATGTTTGGTCCGATTGCCAAAGGTGACTTCTGGAAATTTCACACACCAAAAGGTAATACCTGCTCCTATTTATAGCTGGGAGAGTCCATGCGTGCGTGGGCAAACTACCATAACCCCTTGCATCTTAGTGGCTTTATTGCTATATTTAGGGTGAAATGATTGAAAATAAACAAACAAGGACATAAGTAATTATTATTTTATAAGTTTTTCTTCTTTGCAGATTAATTTCTGTTTTTTGGTATTGGTGGTGTAAAGCAGGGGTCGGCAACCTTTTGAAGAGATCGGGCCAGAAATCTATGCCATAAATCTTGGAGAAGGGTCATGATATCAAATGTACTATAATAAATTGTCTTGAACTCTGACCGCTCCGTCCAGAAGACTGACTTTGACTGAAAGTTTAAAGAAAAAAAAAACGAATCTAATGTTATATTATTTAAACAAGGTTCCTTATTTTACTGCAGGAATAACAGGATAACAACTAACACAATCAAGAAAAATGCAAATTCCTTACAACGGTTAATTTGGCGGGCAGGACAAAACTCCTCAGCGAGCAAGATGTCGCCCGGGGGCCGGTTGTTGCCAACTCATGGGGCAAGGAACTCTCCACAGTTCTTATTAGTTCTTTTGACTGGCAACAATCATAAGAAAGAAAAGAAAGAAAAAAGAAAGAAAGAAAGAAAGAAAAGATAGAGAGAAAGAAATTCGATGAAATTCCAAGTCTGTGTGATGTGCATTTTTGAAATTATTTTGAATTTTCATTTTGTATTGGCACGTGAGCGTGATGTTATTTAAATTTTTTTTTTACAGTTTTGAAACTGGTGTGCGTGACGTGACGTGACGATACGAAGAATTTAAATACATTTTATAATTTCATAATCATACGTGATGCTGGTAATTGTTGGTTGATTTGATTTAATATAGATAACTTCTAAAATTTGTAGTCATTGTTAATAATTTGTTTTTCTTTGGTATTCATAAACAGCTGCTTTATCCTATTGTAAATATTATGTTCCTGTATCATGTTTTGTCGTTTAGATTACAATAAATAATTAAGAAAATCGTCTCCGATCGCACAATAGGAATGGTAAAATCTATTTCAATTCTCCACACTACATCACGATCAGGTGGCACTATAGATTTAGAAACATTTCGCTCACGTGAACATTCAAAATCATTCCAAACATGTAAACTGTAACACGCATTCTGCAGTTCATGCAAATTCTTTCTTTCTTAATAATGAGTAAATGTCGGTCAAAAGCTCGGAACCTTTGCAAGAAGCGACACGATATGTGGACAATTCCTTGACACATTCAATAGCAAGTTGCGGAAACTAAGCTGGCAACAAAACTTGCACGGAAAATACACACACACACATAAGAGGGGAAAAGAAAGAAAGAAAGAAAGAAAGAAAGAAAGAAAGAAAGAAAGAAAGAGAAAAATAAACAAAGAGGGAAGGAAGAGAGAGAAAGAGGGCGATAACACACCTACGTACAGAAAACGCACACATACCCATATATGGACAGAGAAAGTAGGGGTAAGAAAGAAAGAAAGAAAGAAAGAAAGAAAGAGGGCGATAACACACCCACATACACACATACATACATATATATTTAATGACCTGTAGTTTGCATGGAATGTTTGAAAATATGATATTTTTGCTTAGAGGTGAAATTAAACATTATTGTTTACCCTGAACAGAGCAGATTGTTAAAAAAAAAAGTACTTATGAGTTAATCCCCATCGTCAGGCATGAGAATAAACATCTGTTATGTCATTCAGCACCCACCCCCGATTAATGAATGCCATCACCGGTATGTGCGTGCGTGGGTGGATTTACATGACAGTTAAGAAGAATGACTTCATTACTTTTTATTGTTTAACAACTTCTCTATCTCCTCCAGTTTTATGAAACTGTTTTTTTTTCTCCTTTTTTTTTCCAGGAAGTTTTATTCCTAGGATTGGAAAAGTCTTTATTGAACCAATGCATATGCAATTTTTTTTTTCTATTTGGACTAATACGGACGAGAAACGTTTTCTTTCAAAATACTACCTTTTAAGGTAAAACATTTATACTTTCCTTTCTGTTTATGCTATCAACACTGCCAGTAGGAGTAGATAGGTTTGTCTATCGCCCCGTTCGCACACCTCCCCGGTCATTTGAACAGAAGTAAAGGTTTATCCTTTGTTTCCTGTTTGGGATTGGGTTTCCGGTTCCTTCAACTCTATACTCCTAACGTCTCCGCCTGAACTCTGAAATTTTATTTGCTAATTAAATCTTGACCTCTTCAAGTCTAGAATTAGCTATCTTTCCTGTTATCTTGCCCTTTCTTATACAACTCCACACATTAACCCTCTGCCTTGAGTGGCCCTTGGGCCTTTTATTGAATGAACATTAATAAAAAAAATTAAATGTTATTATAGTCGGAAAAGTCATTAAAAGGAAAGAGAAGTAGAAAAAAAAACAAAGAAAAGAAAAAAAACACCCCCCCAACAAAAAATTGAAAAAAAAAAAAGAAAAAAGTCAAGAAAACGATAGGTGATATTTCCTTGTAACACCTGAAAGACCTCACCCTCATTTACTATCAATGTCACAGTACTCGCTTGTTAAAATTGGGTGGGCCGTTGGTTTTATCAGCTCGAATCGGCCATTGAAAAAAAATGTCTGTAGTTGACGTTGGCATGAAAACAAACAATATTGTCAAGTCCATGAGATCATACAATTAAATCCCTCTCATGATTGGTGTTAAGATCACACAGGTAATAATGTTCCCCGTTGTAGCTTTTGCTACAACGGGGAACATTATTGCACACTACTGAAAATTGTTTAGCTGTAACTTAAGGTATATTTTCGGGTCGAATATCTCGGTCAGTCTCTCAGTAAGGTTTCAGCATCTGAGGTTCTTATTGTTTGGGGACTCATTTGGTCGTAAAGGCTCAGGTTGGCATGTTGGTATTTTAGAGAGACTTGCCATCTCCATGCAGTTGACCAAAGAAGAAGGCATCCAATGAACTGGATGTTGTGCGACAAGAATTCTTTCCATCAGTCTTAAACCGGAGAAAAATATGCCTGGGAAATTCGAGGAGATATAGGAACAAACCTTCTGCCCAAATATCCTTGGACTACTGCATCATCAAAAAAAAGGGTGTGGCATCACCGGTGAAATCTGGGGAAGCGATGAGAGGAAAATCCAAACTTAGGTATCTCTTGTCCTTGTTTAGACCCCCTGATTCAACAACATATCGGTCCCAATTCAGAGATACTGCAGTAAGTATGTGGCTACTTTGTTAGTCTAGGTTAAGACAAAACAGCTAATCATGAAGAAGATGCTGTACCAAGAGAAAGAAAGGCCAGTGGGCGTGATTGTTTGCTCCACGACACTGTCTTTCCTCCACCAGGACTGACATTGCCATGGTCACAAGAAAGTTTACTCCACAAATAAAATAGTTACGTTGAATGCCCGTGGTCTGAGGTCTAATTCTAAAAGGGCTATGCCCGTTCGCGATCTTCAAAGTCTCGGCTAATATGCGGTTGCATGAAGAGTTGTTTAAGATCTAAGGTTTCACGCTTACGCGATCTTCAGACAAACTGGTTTATATATACACACACACACACACACACACACACACACACACATATATATATATATATATATATATATATATATATATATATATATATATATATAATTGTGTGTGCAATAGATTCATCAATGACTAGGACAATATTCTGTTGAGGAAAACTCCGTATGTTTTGACAGTCATTTAAGAGGTGCCATTGATAAAGTGTTTTTCTAATGTGACCTGCTCGATGGTCTTCACAGATCTGGCAACAATACCAAGGAACAGTCATCTTTTTTTTTCCTTTTTGTCAGATCGACCATTTCTTGAAAACGTCCGAAGGTGAATAGTTTTAGCTGGTAATTGGAAAGCCAGTCTTGATTTTGATCTTAATAACGGTGTCAAAAAATACACCAAAAATCATCAAATTTGCTTTTATTGATAAACTTCGAAATGAATATCCGAGGCAATTAGAGTGGAAATGGACAAATAGACGCAACTTAGGTTTTGTGTAGCGTTCCTGCTCCATCGACTGAGTTTTAGTTAGGAGAGTTCATTTAGGGCTCTTATATTGGTGAAGATGTCACACCCAGTTTATTTAAAACACTGTCCGGCTTTGAATAAACTTTCAATATATCCTTGTTGGATGTGAAAGATTTCTACGATGATCTTAATCCTAAAGCGGGAATTAACAGGTAAGAATAAGCTCAAAAGTTCTATTAGGTATTTTGTTGCCGTTTATAATAGCTGACTCTGGTGGGTCAGCAAAGCAAAATAAAACTTGAATCATGAGTAGACAACGAGGGGAAGCAGTAGCTATCGTTAAGTGAGAGATGACTCCCGATTTAAAACGAAGGAATACACTTTAATAGTTAAAGCTTCATTAAAAATAGTGATTAATATATCTGAAGACTATTCGAAGTCTAGTGAAAAAGTAACGAGACTGGTGCTATAAAAAGGAAACTACACCACAAATCAATCATTTAATCACCTTCGAAGTAGTTCACTTCTGAAGCCACAAACTTTATCCAGTGTCGTTTCCATCGAAACTCCTTTTTTGTGGATTGCGAGCAGCTTTTTCGTTGTATTGTCTTGGATTTACTCTACGTTTTGAAATCTTGTTTCTTTTAAGTGAATTTAATTTTTAAAGAGGGAAAAGTCACAAGGGGCGAGATCTGGGGAATATGGTCGTTGTCGGACCTGAGGAATGTAGTACTTGGCCCAAAACTGTTGCACAAGCCATGGTCACGGATGGAACCTCTGTTGTGTGGTTAGACGACCACACTACAAACATTCCCTCCAGGAACTGCTATAAACGACGGAAGTGTGCGAGAACGCTATAGCTTAATAATATATGCGCGACATAGTTCAATGTCAATCTGTGCCACGCAGTTTCCCTCAAATACTTTAGCCTCGTTATCATAGCAATTCTCCCGATACTTTTTGATTAGACCTCGTAAGTTTCGTATAATTCAGGGTATATTTTTTTACCACCATAACAATTTCTATTTGTCGCAACGTGGATCTGTAGAAAAAGCAATACGCGATTCTCTGTTTATTAACTATGGTGCAACTGGTGATTTGACATCACGCGGATGCAGGACGTTCACAGTAATTCGGGTCATTTTATTCTTAACAAAGCTATCTCCTAATTTAAGCATTAACTCACCGTTAAGATCAAAGTGAAGAAAAAGAGGATATTTCAGACATTAGCATTGTGTGCATGTGGTAGGATTGTGTCGTGTGATATTTGTTAACTGAAAGTGGAATCTTGAAGTAACTGGTTAGGGATTTTGCGCTTGTAACAAATGTTTAACAGAATTAAAAGTACTAAACTTTATTTAGCGAAACGAAACTCAGCGATAAAATAAAAGGGAGTTAAGTCAGACTCACGTTAGCGAATTTATTGTTCGTACAACGCGAGCGTAGGGTACCACAAAAAAGATTCCTCAGCCCAGCAAGAGATAAGATAGATTAATATTATTTTTCTTTTGTTAAGTTTGTTTAACCTAGCGATGGAATTTATGTTTATTGACCCTTTTTCATTTTTTTTTTAATTCTCCTCGTCCTCGCTTCTCATTCCCCTCCCTATTAGATGACAGAAGGCAAAATTCTACTCGGTAGGAATCTTTCTCTATTTCTAAATTTTCCTCTTTTATTTCTCTTTTCAACATAATTTTTCGGTCGATTAAGTTTCCTTTTTGTCTGCCATATTAAACTGTATTTGTGAGGAGCGTGGTCACATGCTAACTGTCTTTTGTAAATATATCTTTTTACATTTAACTCATTGATGGTAAATTGTTTTATTTAAATAGTTTTATTCAGCCCCCACCCACCTTAAACTGTAAATATGGGTTTATTTAGAATTTCTGTAGGGGGAATGTGACTTTCCGGCAATTTTAGATGAAAGATTTACAATAAATGTGATATAGGAAAAAACGATGATAAATGGTTGGGACAATAAATTCGTCAATGAGAAGATAGGGAGGACCAACACCCTCCCTTTCTCCTAAGTTTTCAGACACGTGACAAATATTTTCATTCAAAAATAATTTCTCTATTGCTTTTTGAAAAATATTTTATGTTCATGCATATATAAAAAAAAAGACTAAAAATAATGGAAGCATTATTATTAAAAAAAAGAAAAAGGCCAACACTCAATAACATCTAGTATGAAGACGGCCACAATGTATTGGAAATTGTGTTTGCAAAATAAAACATTCAATTTTACCTCAGAGCCATTAGAATATATAGTTCTGTAAACCTAAATGAAGAAGAATATATTGAGGAAACGTTCAAATTTTTCCACTACGCGCACCATTTCATCTAGCATGAAACAGACTGTCGCCTCTAAGTGTTGACTTAGATTTGTTCACTTTTATATTTACACACGCTCTATCTCTGATATTGAGAACTTTATCCCATAAATATAGCACATCTTAAGACTAT